AATACAATAAAATGATGCACAAAAACACTGATTCAAATAAACTCACGATTGCCCGCCGCAATCCAGGGGCGGTGTACAAACCCGAACGGAACCTTAAGTCTAGAAGCATTTATCTGATGCTTTGCTTAGCTTCTATTGTCATGGTTTCATTATTATTTGTATTTGTTATTTGTTGCTTGTCTGTTGATATCTTGTTGTGTACCTAGTTACGATGGCCCACAGACAATCTTAAGTCAGTTCGAATACAGTGTTAATATTTTGTGCATGCAAAGAATTTCATGTGACTAGCTTTAAAATAAAGTCAAAAAATGTACATTTAGACAAATCCAGCAGACAATTTTAAACTTGGAAGGGGTTAGTAATTCTGGAATTCAAAATAAGATCACATTATATCATGCTTTAGCCTTACAGTTTTTTCTAACAGGTTTTGATTTTGTGCAAGCTATTCCGTCTTCATGCTGTGTAACCAGGCATTATTTCAATAAACAGCTGATTTAGCTAGGACAGATTACAGTAAAATGCAAAATGTTGGTTTTACAATGATACTTTGCAGTGGAAAAGATGTCTGTATCCGAATGATGATGAAGTGCGTTCCATTATTAATTATGCAAAATTAATTTTACGAAAATACAGCCCAAACGTTATACAACTCCAACAATAATTTAGTAGTATGTATATGCTACAAACGCAGTGAAAAAATTTCTTTGCACTTTTACAAATTGTCCGATTATTTTTAAAAGGATGTTTTCTCATTCAAAGAAATGTTTTCACATAGCCTAATTTCTGCAGTAAGGTACATTAACCCAAATCTATGAATTAATCCAAAGAATAAATACATGCATCTGAATCAGACTTGCTTCAGCTTTACGAAGAACGTGACGCACACAAAGCAGTGTGATTTTTTGCGAAAACTGAATTACCTGTTACTTTAACTGAGCTATGAGAATGAAAAATCTAGTTCTAGATAAGTAACTCAAGTGTACTATATTCAATGTGAAATGACGGTCAATGGCTTAAGAGTCTCAAATGCTAACACAACTTATTATCTAGGCATCGGTAAGTTTTTGCAATGTTAAAAAGTGCTTACTTTACAGCAATAATGGCCTCACTTACTAGGTTAAACAGAGTTGAATCTGTACAGTAGATGCCGTAAGTTCTATGAAGAACCTTCTGACGAGTACTGATAGAAAAAAATTTTAGCTTTAGAAAAGAGCCTCTATCACCGCTAGCTCGACGTGAAAGCTTTCATTTCAGTGGTTTCAATTTGGAGCCCTCTGATGCTGATGCTTATTTGAAGCTGCAACGGGAAATGGCCTTCAAGAAATCCTTTCAGTGCTAGCGCGAAGTACTTTATTTTCCAGTGGTTCTAAGGGGCCTTCTGTACTCATAGATAAAATCAACGACACTGGAGGCCCTCTGCGAATGCCTCTGGCGTTGGGAAATTCTACATCTTACAGCTATTTCCAGAATGGAGCCCTCTGTACACGTCGGTTAACCTCAACGACACTGGAGGCCCTCTGGGAAGGCCTCTGGCGTTGGGAAATTCTACATTTTCTAGTGGTTTCCAAAATGGAGCCCTCTGTACACGTAGGTTAATCTCAACGACACTAGAGGCCCTCTGGGAAGGTCTCTGGCGTTGGAAAATTCTACATTTTCTAGTGGTTTCCAAAATGGAGCCCTGTACACGTAGGTTAACCTCAACGACACTGGAGGTCTCTGGTAAGGCCTCTGGCGTTGGGAAATTCTACATCTTCCAGCGGTTTCCAAAATGGAGCCCTCTGTACACGTAGGTTAATCTCAACGACACTAGAGGCCCTCTGGGAAGGTCTCTGGCGTTGGAAAATTCTACATTTTCTCTAGTGGTTTCCAAAATGGAGCCCTCTGTACTCGCGTAGATAAATTCAA